TCTTTAAATTATTTGACATTGCGGAAATATAAGAGTTTCTAAAACGATTGGTCCGTATAGTAGGACAATCAAACGCACGTTCTCTCCTCAGGTTGTAAGTGGGATTGTGTTTGGGTGGCAGTAGTTGATAAAGCTTGTGAGTTGTGGTCTGAGTTGGATACTTTGTCTTGAAAAGTTTTTCACACAGTTTCTGACGCCTGTCTTTGAGAGAACTAATATTATGCTTGTTAAGATTGTTCGTATAAGATGACCCAGGAGATATCATTGAAAGCGCTCGCTTTTGAATGCGTTCAAGATCGTTACATAAATATGCAGGTAATGAGTGGTGGAATACGGGTGCACAATACTCGAGAACTGGTCTGATGCAAGTACAATAAAATTTTAAGATATGGTCAGCAGGAATGCTTGCACGCCTAAGCAAAATTAGGAAATACAAACGTTTGTTAGCTTTCTTCACGACATAGTTGACATGGTCAATCCATTCCAGTGAGTTAGACACCATGGCACCCAATATCTTCGCACTGCTGACTAGCTCGAGTTCTTTGGAATTGATGATGATGGTCTTAAGCTGATGTTTCACTTTCTTAAAGTCAACTATCATTTCCTTACACTTGTCTTCGTTCAACTGGAGCTTGTTGTTTTTACTCCATTTCTTTACATCAGACACTGCACTCCGCATTAGGCTTTGGCTATTTCTTGGGACAACCTCGGCTAATGTCGTGTCGTCTACGTACTTCCACGAGTGCCCTTCGGATGGTTTAAGGTCATTGATCATGAGAAGAAATAACCATGGTCCTAATTTCGTACCCTGTGGAACTCCAGATGGAACTGCACCCCATTCGGAGAAGCAATCGTTGGACAGTTTGACGCGTTGCAGCCTGTTCGATAAAAAGTCGCATACCCAGCGAACAACAGGGAAAGGATCTTTTTAACTAGGATCCGGTGATCGATGAGATCAAATGCCTTCCTGTAGTCTAGCAACACCATCCTTACCGCTGCACCTGTCCCGTCAGTGGCAGAAGCCCATGTATGAATCATGGAAATAAGGGCATGCGTAGTAGATGATTTTGGGATAGCAATGGATACACCTTTCGTTAGATTCTTTGCATAAAAGTTGCGAAACTTAGATCTTATAGCGATATTTGCTGATAAATCGGTTTTAAACCGCCGCCTAGTGTGTTCATACTATACAAATTTAAAACAAGTTACCGAATACAATCATTTGACGTACTAAAATGAAAATTTCACAACTTTTATGCAAAGAATCTAACGAAAGGTGTATCCTTTGCTACAAATTGACGTATATAAAGGAAAGAAAGGGGAATTCTACCGCGATATTTGCCGACAAAAATCGCTACAGAAAATAGAACAAATTACAGAAATACAAAACAATAGTGATGGGCGATACCGAGTACTCGGTATTCGATACCAGCGATACCACAAACAGCGGTATCGGTATCGATTACTGACGTGGTATCGTTCGATACTTACACCCTTTTTTAAACAACTTGTTTAATTTCACTTCTTGGTTGAATAAGACTTAATGAACCACTAAAATAACTCTTAATATTGCAAATGTGGTGCGCCAAGTCATGTATAGAAAATATTTATTACGTTTCGGGCTTTTGGTTACTTATAGCTTTATTTATTTTACATACAGTAATGTGAAATGTTTTTCCGCTGACCGACAGGTATTGAAGGTAGCCGATGCTAGCAATTTAAGTACTCACTTCCGGTATCGAAAATTGAAATTTTGTGTTTATTTTGGTATAGAAATAGGTATCAGTATCGGCCGATACCGATCTTAAAAGTATCGGTATCGGTATTGAATTAAAAATCCTGGTATCGCCCATCACTACAAAACAAGTTACAGAAGCGGAAGTGGGAAGGTTCTTGTATTTTGACTGTAAATAGATACCGCTTGATAATCATCGCAGGCTCATTTGCAGATAACTGAGTTATCTGCTAGCAGATAACTAAATTTTCTGTAGGTTGCGTGATTTAACTGTAAGCTCTTAGCCAATCAAATTGCTTTTACCAACTACAATGTATAATAATATAAATTAACATGCATGTTCATTCTCAGAATTATTTATTAGAGTAACTCAGTAATTCTTGTAATTTTTATATTCTGGGGCCAGTTGTTCAAAGTTTAAATTTTCTAAATTTTCTACCCAGTCACACTAGAGGTCAACGTTTTCTTGCCTTTACCAGACCTCCCAATTTTTGGAGATGTCAAGTTGGAACGTCTGTAGTTGTTCTAAAAAATTGTGTTCGGAAATTTTTGTTTATTTCGTCATTCCGCTGATATAGCGATTTCTTTGACGACTGCAATATATTTCTGAATTGTTTGAGTGAATTGCTCTTTATTATTAAAATATCCAAAATTAAAATTTTGAAACTGACGTCTTTAGCTATGACCTGTGAAAATTTGAGAAAAATTGGTTAAAACACGCAGGAGCACAACTCGTTTGAAAATCAGTAATTACCGTAAAATTTTTCGGGAGAAAATTGAATTTGAATATTACATTTTCAATGTTTTTCTTATTGCAGCGAAATGTATTTTATTAAACAACTCTGTGAGTTTTCAACATTTTTTGTTCAAACTTGGTCAGATAGTAGAACTAGTCTAATGCTTTCATGGAAACCAATAAAAAAAATTTAGGTAAAATTAACACTCAAAGGTCTTCTGTAACCTTAACCTGGGGTTAGGCTGATCGACTTTCGAACAACCAGGTGGCAACCATCCACCCGCATTTAAGGGAATATGTGGCCTGATACTCAGGCTAATAACACTACAACCATGCACATATAGGACTAGGAAAAAGATACAGTTTCACTTGGCCTCAGAGGCCAGCTCTGCTCCCTGTAAACAACTGTTACCAACTTACCGGTGCACCAAAGGCCGTCCCAACTTGCCGGAGGAATGCAATTTCTCCCATTTTCGGCGGGATAAGGGTTCCATAAAACTTGTATGTTATGACACCCGAGTTGTAACTCTTTAGCTTTTGCACATTGAAATTTTCATTAATTTGAATAAAGTAACGCCTCGCTTGACAGACCCCACCCCTTTCATCATCTTGTGCACTCCAAGATAGACCTGTAAGCATATAATGCCGGATTTAAAATGTTGCAGATTGAGAGATTCTATATCAGAGATACAACTACATGAAAAAACCTATAACCACAACCAGGGGCGGCACTAGAGGAGGGTATGGGGCAAGCCTGAAAATAAATTTCCAAGGGTGTCTGACAAAGTGTCAGGTACCAACTGATTGGTGCCTGACACTGGACATTTTGTGCCTGACAAAAAAATATTAACGCAACAGAGCAAATATAATTTTTTGTGAAAAGCTTAGTAACAACAATTATGCCACTACTCACTAGTCAATGTACCTATTACCTAATGAACAAAATTTTGATCTAGACAAGTCTAGACAAACGTTTCATCACAGCTTGAAAGAGCATCACAAAATTAGTAATATTCCGAAGTTTCGTTGAGAAATGTTGTAAAATTCGGATAATATAGCCCTGCGAAGTTTGCCGTTTTCCGCTTTCTGAAAAAAGGTATCAATTTCCCGCGCGTATTACAAAATGACTGAAAAACGGCAAACTTCGCAGGGCTATATTATCCGCATTTTACAACATTTCGCAACGAAACTTTGGAATATTACTAATTTTGTGATGCTCTTTCAAGCTGTGAATGTGATGAAATTTTTGTCTAGACTTGTCTAGATCAAAATTTTGTTCATTAGGTAATAGGTCCATTATACCATACGGAATCGAACAATCATAAATTTCACAGCATTTTCACAGGCATATTGTATTTTTAATGCCAGTTGTAAACAGTTTCACCAATAGTTGTATTAATATGCTGCCGGACAAACTGTCCGCCAAAAAAACAGTTGTGCCGGACAATTACCTTTTCGTACCGGACAATGTCCGTGACCGGCCGCTTATTTTCAGGCTTG